TGCAGATTGCAAGCTCCATGAAAACAGAGAACATTTAAAAAATCTCCTTGTTTTCACTCCATGTTATTGAATAAAACATATCTTATGAACTCTTGTTATACTGAGATCAAGTCTCCCATGACTCCTGTTTTCAGTATAACCAGAGTTCCATTACACCAATATCCATTACTTTTTGTTGAGAGAACACTTTTTTGAGCTAAGGCAATTTAAGCCAATGTAATTCCTTGATTTATTTTCTATGCAATACAGTTGAACCACTTCCTTTTTAAAAATATCATTTCACTTTTACTTTTGTGCAATCATTTCCTTAGAATCAATTTTACCATGATTTGGTTCCTCACAATTTCTTATGCATATCAAATGTTACTGATGATAGCTTTTGCCACTGTAATCATTTTTATGGCTAGTTTATCTATGAAGTGTAATTTCTCTGAATCAAATGTATAGATAGAAATGTTATGAAGGAAATTTGAATTGTGGGTTTAGTTGAGTCTTGCGTATTTTGCCACAATTGGTCTTAGTTTGTATGGATTTCTTTATGTGTATCTGAAAAAATAAATGGATATATTTTTTATTGTCTTCAAATCCTAATGCCCTGGGATTATTGATTCAGTTAATTCAGTGGTGGGCCTGGGGTCAGCATGAGAGAACAGCAGAGGAAGGGTACTTATTATGTGTAGGGCAGATGGCAGAGACTACAGACCTCAGCAGTGGGTGCTGGCATGACCCTCTAAAAGGGCCTGTTGGGTCCAACACTGCCTCAGCATATATTTACTCAGGACTCCAGGGACAAGGCCAGACTTCCCACTCTTCCCCCTCCTCACAACTGAGACCAGAGGATCCAGAGGTTGGATCTGAAGTCTATACCTCCTGTCCACACAGACACACAAGCTTTCTGTTATACCAACTATTAAAGTGTTGCCCAGACTAGCAACAGCATCATCTGAGAACGCATCTGTAATGCATATTCTTGGGCCCTAACTCATATGTATGGAATCAGAGATTATGGGGGTGGGGCCCATCAATCTGTATTTTAACAAGCTTTCCAAGTGATTCTGATGCATGTTCAGGCTTGAGAGCCACAGCCTTATACTCAGCTATCATTGTGGCTATGAAAAGGTAGGAGGAAGATATGCAAAAAGATTGAAAATTTACTTCAAAGAAATCAAAGACTAAAATATCCTTTTAAGCAAGATCAAGTCTCCCATGACTCCTATTTTCAGTATAACCAGAGTTCATAAGAAGTTTTAGTTCACTGCAAAGAAATAGAGAAGCCTACAATTTTGCCTACCTGAATTGTGGCAGGAAAATCCTTACTTCCTCATTATAATATCCCAACAATATTCATTATAAGTAGTTAAAAGTTTGTATTTGTTTCCTGGATCATCCTCAACAAAAATATCAACAAAAATTGCCCAGGATTGTTCTATTTCACAATGAAGTCCATTCTTCAGTAGGAATGATCACTCTGTAATAAGCAACACCTACAGAAACAATAAGCAAATGAACAGGCCAAAAGGTCCGTGGGAGTCAATGCGGCAGGCTAAAATTTTCCGTGTTGGGACAGAGATCTTGTCTGTCTTTTCCCTGTGGCATGCGAAGAGACTTTCATAGTGCCTTGTCCTTTGTAGATGCTCAATATAGATCTCAATAGAGATACGAATGAGTGGATAATCCTTGAGGATATAAACAGCTTGTGAATGCCTCATTGAAGAAGCGACAAAAGTTAGACCTTGAAAAATGGGCAGAACAGGATAAAGAGTGGAGACACTTTAGGTGGGAGGAGGAAGGGATACACAGTGGTCTCAGCAAAACCTGGAGTCAGGTCTAAATGTGGAGGGTTGGGACTGGCTGGCTTAGTCCCTTCAGGCTGCTATGACAAAATACCAAAAACGGGGAACTTATAAATAACGGAAATATATTTCTCACAGTTCTGAAGGCAGGGAAATCCAAGAACAAGTTGCCAGCATTTGGTGTCTAGTGAGGGCCCACTTTCTGGTTCATAGATACTGCCTTTTTGCCATGTCCTCGCTTAAAGGAAGGGGCTACCAAATTTCTTTGGGCTTGTTTTATAATGGCACAAATCCCATTCAAGAGGGGCTCACTTTAATTCCCTCCCAAAGGCTACATCATCTAATAACAACACCTTGGGGATCTGGATTTCAACATATGAGTTTAGGGGGACATTTAGACCCTGCACTGAGTATATGGTATTTACAGAGGAAAAGTTGTCCATGGGGGAACAAGATGACCACCAACATTATTATATTATATAGTTAAATGAGCTGGTGAGTTAAATAAGTACTAATCCTCTCACACATCCCCTACCATGCTAGGCACCCAGCAAACAGAGGAGAAAAGGACAGACATGGTACCTGAGTCTAGTGAAGAAAACAGACAGTGACAGGCATATGATGAGTACTTTGATAAATGGTACACGGGGCACATGGGGAGCTCACCTAACCAGGTGAGCTAGACCAGAAAGCCTTCCCAGACAAAAAGATGTCTAAGCTGAGACCTGAATGATGAGTAGGAGTTAGCCATCCCACAAGGAGGGAAGAGGGGTGTGGAACAGCAAGAGTTGGAGCTGGATGGACAAATGTGGGCCAGATTAGGAAGGACCTTCTAAACCATGTTGAAGAGGCTGAGCTTTATCCAGAAGCATGTGAAGTCCTCAGGAGGTTTTAAACAGGGGAGAAAACAGACTATCTATGACAGTTTCACAGAATTTATTCTTTGAAATTCCTACCACTGAGATGGGATATATGCTCCCTCCCTTTAAATCTGGTGGTGGGGGGGGCATTGGGACTTTAGTGGAAGTGATGTTATGACTTCTGAGAGTAGGTCATAAAAGATCCTACCCTTGGGACAGTCACTCCTAATACCTAACCACCTTGCTTTGGGGAAGCACATGTAGATGTTCCAGCCCCAGCACTGGCTGAGGTCCTAGCATCAATTGCCAGAAATACTAAGGAAGCCTTTGAGATGATTCCAGTCCCAGCGATAATCTGATGACTAAAACTGCAGGAGAACCTAAATACGAACTGTTTGGCTGAGCCCAGTCAGTACCTAGGATAATGAGGATAACTCAATGAATGGTGTTGTTTAAACCACTGAGTTTGGAGTATTTTTTCACACAGCAATCAATAACCAGAACTATTCCTGATATCACCTAATTAAAAATATCTCTTTTTGTCTCCTTTTAGTAACTGTGTTAAACTTACCATACTGATTGTTGGGATTCTGGAGCAACAGACATCTATGGTAAATAAAAACAATCTACAAAAGCACATAACAGAGTTAAGGAATAAGATGTTCTGTCCAATCAAATATTCTCATTAACAGACTAAGCAGGCCAGGTGTGGTGGCTCATGCCTGTAATCCTAGCACTTTGGAAGGCCAAGGCAGGCAGATCACTTGAGGATAAGAGTTTGAGACCAGCCTGGCCAACACGGTGAAGCCACATCTCTACTAAAAAATACAAAAAATTAGCCAGGTGTGGTGGTGCACAACTGTAATCCTGGTTACTTCGGGAGGCTGAGGCATGAGAATCACTTGAACACGGGAGGCGGAGGTTGAATGAGCTGAGATCACACCACTGCACTCCACCCTAGGTGACAGAGTGAAACTGTATCTAAAAAACAAAAACAAAAACAAAAAAACAAAACCCAAAACAGAAAAAAACAGGATAAGCAAATGATTTAGGTAAACTACTGCTTACAAATAAACACCATTTTTTTCAAATGAATTACTGAATTTTAAAGAATGAAATGCCCACCATAACCTATATTGAACACTATTATTTGTTAAGACTTTAGAATCATCTGTTACTTTGGGGTGAACAGTATACACATTAGTTACCTCTGTACTAAGGCTTCGAGGGGGAACAGGTGGAATGGACCAGTTTTTCCAGTTGGCTAAGCACCAGCCACCTCCTGGTGCCGGGACTGGGAAGCTTGTTGCTATTTACCGCTCACAAAATTTGGTGACTTTGCTAATGAATGGTTGTTAGCTAAAAACCAGGGCCACACTCACCCAGAACATGAGAGCGATTTGAACTGTGAGAAGTGGAAAAGATAAAAAGTAAGCTGAGGGGACAGGAAGCATGCCCTATTATTCCCTAAGACTGAAGGTGAAGAAATCCAAGCACCTTTTTTTTGCATGTGCAAAACACCAGACACACACAGAAACAATTAGGATTCTATGAGGGCATAGAATTCGTTTCTCTAAATGGGACTGTCCAGTGTTTCACAGAGCACAAGGAAAAGAAATTCTTTCAATATTTTTGAGCAGGAAGAACTCACTTGTTTTTATAATTCCTTAACTAGTTGCACACAAAGTGCATGTACTATGTCCAGCCACTATTTGCTTGCTCTTCATTCCCTACCTCATTTCATCCTCACACCAAGCCTAAGAGGTAGGTACTATTATTCCCATTTACCAAATGAGGAAGCTGAGGATGCCCAGGGCCACACAGTAAGTCATTGGAGCCCTTAGTATTCTATTTCTTAGGAGATGCTCCTTTTTCCCTTCTGAAAAGGCATAATGTGGTACAGTGGGAAGGATACTAGATTAGGAATCTGGATTCTATCTCAGCTCTACCACAAATCAATTATGCCAATTGGTGACTCTCATCTCTGGATCCTGTCTTCAGGTGGAATTGTGATCTCAGACCTGGATTTGGCAAAGACTCTCTGAGACACAGTCTACAGGTGATATTGGGGCTGTCTTGAATGGATCATTTCCTTAACCTGAAAGATGAAGGCAGTAATTAGGAGACTCAGAAGACTCCTCCTAGTCTACAATTTCTGACTCTAGAATCCTTGCCTCAGAACAACCACCAAGTGAACAGTCTTAGTTTTGGAGGTGGCAATGAAGAGTCTGCAGCAATCCTGGCAAAGAGCTGCTGAGGTCTGAGCAACCCTCTGGGCTTTCTGAAACACAAGGAGCAAGTGAGCTGCGGTCACCGTGTATTTTCTGCTCACTGGTGACCAGGAAGGTAAAATTCAGCACATACTGTATTTTAGACCATCATAAGTATGAAGCACCTTTGAACTGCTCTCATGCTATATTTTTAAAAATATCGCATTCAAGAGAGAAAAATCATTAACATATAAGATAAACTGTAGGACGATTTATTATCCACATAGTAACCTAAGCATTATGTGGCTTTTAGTGGCACTTATTTTGAAAAGCACATGGCTTGCCCATGATCAAAACAGTAATCATTTAAATTTAGCTTACTTAGCAGTTCTAAAGGCTAAATTCTGGTTTTGTTTGTGCTGCTGAGAAGACAGACCCACCACAATCCCATCAAGTTTGCTTATGAACCTTATTTATTTTTGAGAACATCGGATCCTACTGAAACTTGAAGATTTCAAATCTGTATGCAAATACACATAGGCATTATTGTTTTGCAGATGGAAAAATGAGGGCTCAAGTCATAGACATATATGATGGCAGAACAATGAGAAAATCCTGGGCTGTTTTCTAACATGGTAGAATTCAGCAAGGATGTAATTTGCAAGTAACTACTCCCTTGAAAATCAGAGTTGACCACACTTGTAGTGAAATTAATTCCTGATGGTGCTTACTGGGTTCCACTCTGGTGCCGGAAGCTGGACTAGAGACTGACCATGTTCCTTCAAGAATCCTCAGCAGTGCACAAGGGAAGAGCCTTTCTGAGGGAGCTAAGCTTGCATCTAGACCTTCACAGTGGTGCAACATAAATTCTCAGAGATTGGCATGCCACCATTCAGTGAACTTGGGAATTTCAGGAGGAGACCAAGTGTCAGCACTGTGTCTGTTGAAGTGCAATGCCTGGCTTCTTAGGAAAGGCAATAACTCACTAGAAGCAGGCCCTTCAGATTCATAGATGGACTGAAACCAGGGTTACTCAGCCAACAGGGACTGGCCGAGTGGCTGGAAGGTGCGACGGCTGACCATCCTCTTGTTTAATAGAAACATGTGGGACTTCCTGCCCCCGGGGATGTGGCAGAGCACAGCATCCAAAGAATAAGTGGTGACTTGGCCACTGACGTGCAGTTTCCCATAGAGCTCATCAAATTTGGCCACAAGGGCAGGCACATCCTTCACTTTTTCCCTCACTTTGGCCAGCTGGAAAAAAGCAAGAACAGATCATTATATCTCTGCAAGATTTATTCCTTGTTCTTACTATAACTCTAAGAAAAAGTAATGGACATGAACAAAAATGTATGGTATGCCAGATCCAGTGGCTCATGCCTGTAATCCCAGCAATTTTGGAGGCTGAGGTGGGAAGGTCGCTTGAGCACAGGATTTCTAGGCCAGCCTAGGCAACACAGTGAGACTTTGTACAAAAAAATTTTTAAAAAATTAGTTGGTGTGGTGGAAGATCACTTGTGCCCAAGAGACAGAGGCTGCAGTGAGCCGTGATTGTGCCACTATACTCTAGCCTGGGTGACAGAGTAGAGTCTGTCTCAAAAAAATATATATGTGGTATATACCTAAAATAGTGAAAACCAGTGTATTGGGGCACACAGAAGTATTACTATGAGAGATTCCAAAAGCCACACACAAAATTCAAAATTAGTATTTGAAAATCATACCTAATATAAAGCAGGGGTTCAAATAGCACATTTATATAATGAAACACACCAAGTAAAGGAGGTCATATACCAGTGGAATCAACTTTGTTCAATGTAATGATTACAGCAGGAGGAGGCAGGGCCAAATTACATGGGGCTTTATATATATTCCACAATAAGCTTTTTGAAATTTATTCTAAAAAAGCCATCAAAGCATCTAAAGTGGGACAAGATTTCATTTACGTTGAAAAAGTTGCATAATGGATTGGTATGTACAGAAATGTGGAGACTCTTCTGGAGGCCCACACCATAGCCCAGATAAGAAAGGGTGGTGGCTTAAGATTGGGAAAGGTACAGAAAAGATGGAGAAGTGCCCGTTTGTGAGGTACATTTTGGAGGTTACACTGAAAGGACTTATTTTTGAATGGGTGAAGGAAAGGGAGGAGTCAAAGTTATCTTCTCAACTGGGGCTTTAGTAACTGGATGATGGGTGCTACCATTTCCTGAGATAGAGAACAGGGAGGGTGAGATTTGGAAGGGAACATCAAGAGCTCTATTTGGACCTGATTGAAATAGCTGTGAAATATCTAAATGGTTATGTCTAGAAGACTGTTGGATATACAAATCTGGGGCATGATGGAGAGGTCTAGACTAGAGGCATACATACTAGAGTCACAAGTATATGAATGGTATTTAACCCCCAAAATGGGCGAACTAGAATGGAGAATGTGAAGCTACTTTCTGAATAAAACCAGTATTTTACTTAGTTCAATCCTTATCAAGGGTATAATCTAAACACACTTCTTGATGGAATTTAATTGGGATCAAGCTTCCTAACAAATCCTTTGGCCCTCTTCTAAATTTATAACACTGTTTGCACCTGCACATCTTCCTTTCAGACAGGGCTCCCAACCACACCTGCAGACAAGCAGCTTAAGCACTTCTTAATGTTCTTAAAAACGAATAGTTTGTTTAGTCCCCACGTTCAAGATGAAAATGACTTAATGTGCAGCGTATGGCTTCTAAAAGCAGCACAACAAACATGCCAAGGTGGAGATAATTTTGATCTAAAAGCTGTAATAGTTCTGTTACATAACTACAGAAATAAGTCAACAATTCTTTTCAATAGTCCTGTGATGGTATAATAGCACCTATGGTAGTTTATGGTCTTATCTCCCTACGTAACACATTTAAAATAACTGTTGGCATAAACATTAAATGCAACATTTGTAAAATGCAGACTTTTACAATATAAGACTACATTTGCAATCTCACACATATATATTTAGAACTAGCTCAAAAGCTACTGGAGTTATATGAATCAATCCATTTCTCATCAAGCAGTTCCTTGAGTGACCCCCAGTAACCAGAGAGAAGACACTGAACTAGAGGGTTCATTTTCTAAGTAAAACAGTCTTATATGAGTATTTTGCAATATGAAGTTTGTTTGGGTGCTTTAGCCATACAAATGGTGACAATGTATTAATGGATCAGGTCTAAGGAAAGATTGTTAACATCAATGCTGCTGAGAAAATGGAAGTTGTATGAGTATTTCACACGTATGCATACACACATGACTATGCACTTTAAAATCTGTTCATGCTTCTACTTTCTCTGCTTTTCTAAAGTTACTCCAAAAGGGTTCGGTGGGTCACAACCTAAACAGAGCTAAGACCACAAATACAAAGAAGCTTGAAATCAGTCATATCCAGTTAGTCATTTTCCTGACAAGTTCCCATTTATCAGCAGGAAGAAGCCTTTGGGTGGAAGTGAGGAAATGTCACAGGGCTGGGAAGGCGACAGTGTGGCAGGAGGAGGAAGCAGCCACTGCCCTCTAGTGCCAAGCCTGCCATCTCAGCCGTCAGCCTGGACCAAACTATAAAAAGGAGAGGCAGGAGAAATGAGGAAGAAAAGGAATACCAACCAACAGGCCACTTGGTTGATCAAAATGCCAGTATCAGTGTTATTATTAAGAATATGATCATTGTCAATAATGTACAATTTCTTTACACTTCTTTTTTCACCTTAAGTATTATGCTATGAGAGAGGTACAAATTACTATATTTCAAATGACCTACAATAATTCCAATTTGTGTACTTAAGCCATCATCGTGACACATGGGTTCATTTGTTTCATTTCACGTTCAATTTTTAGGAATTGCTTTTTCTCTTCATTTTTATTTAACTCTGCTTTAAAGTTCTGAAAAGCATTTACATGGTTCCTAAGTTAAATATACAAACAAGGTACATTCAGAGAAATCATGCTTCTATCCTTCACCTTCACTTTCCTTTTTCTTTTAAAATTTTTTAATTTTTAAAAATTAAATTAAAAAAATTTGTCAAATTATAATTGTCATCAATTGTGTATATTTATAAAGTTCAATGTGATGTTTCAGTCTAGTGTACATTACAGAAAGATTCAATCAAGCTAATAAACATATCCAACACCTACAATGTATCTTTTTCTGCAGTGAAACATTAAAAATCTACTCCTTTGGCATTTTTGAAATATGCATTATAATTAACTGTAGTTCCTAAAGACAACTAAAAAACCTTTAGAACTGATAAATCAATTCAGTAAAGCTGCAGGTTACAAAATGAACATACAAAAATCAGCAGTGTTTCTACACAAAAAATGATCTGAAAAAGAAATCAACATAACCACTTAAATTTTCGGTTTTTCATCCATAGTGTTTTTCAAAATCCTAAATATATATAAATATATGGTACCGCTTTCTTAAGGCATACCACACACACCCATTTGCATCTTGCTTTTGTCACTTAAAAACATATTTAAGTGATCCATATAAATGGTGATCCACAGCAGTATATGATACAGCTGTTCCTCACTTCCTTTGGGTTACATAGCAGTCCTTTGTACGAACAGACCCTAATTTGTACAACTAGTCCTTTACTGATGGAAATTTGGGCTTTTTTCCAGTCTGCTGTTATTACAAATTGGCCTGCAACAAATAGCCTTGTACATACAACTTCCTTGTATTTGCTGGTATATTTTTGGAATATATTCCAAGTGGGATGACTGAGTCAAGGGGTGAAATTATTTGTTTGTGAGATACTGCCAAATGCCTCTGCACAGGGTATACCAATGTTTTCCCTCTAGCAGCATTGGATGATAGCGCACATTTCCTCAGAGCCTCACCAACCAAACAGGCTGGCAAACTTGCAGATTTCTACTCACGAGAAAGATCATAAAGTAGTTTTATTTTGCATTTCTCTTGATACGGGCAAGAGAATCTTTTCAAATGTCTAAGGGCCATTCACAATTCATTTTTAGTAAGTTCTGTCCACATCTCTTACCCATTTTTCTTTAGCGTTGTTGGTTCTTTTCTCACAGTTTTCAAAAAGAGCTCTTTTTTTTTGGAGGTGGAGTCTCACTCTGTTGCCAGGCTGCAGTGGCATGATCTCGGCTCCTGGGTTTAAGCAGTTCTCCTGCCTCAGCCTCCCAAGTAGCTGGGACTGCAGGCACGCGCCACCACGCCCGGCTAATTTTTGTATTTTTAGTAGAGACGGGGTTTCACCGTGTTGGCCAGGATGGTCTCCCTGACGTTGTAATCCGCCTACCTCGGCCTACCAAGGTAGGCGGATCACAACATTACGGGCGTGAGCCACTGCGACTGGCCTCAAAAAGAGCTCTTTAAATATTAGGGCTAATTATCCTTTTGTCAGTATGATTAAAAACTGAAAGTACTTTCTTCTAGTTTGTTATTTACCTCTTGACTTTGCTTATGGAGTTTTTGCCACACGAAAAAAAAGGTTTCAACATTTTTATTTAGTCAAATTTATCACTTAATTGATTTGGATTTTGATTGAAAGATAAGTTTTTCAACTCCCAGGACATTAAAGAATCCACTAATGTTTATATCTTCTGCTTGTATGTTTCAATTAAAAAATTTAAATTATCATCCACTTGGAATGTATCCTGGTTTGTGGTATAAAAACATATACAAGTGTATCTTTTTCTATTGGCTCTCTACTTATCCTAGTACTCCTTACCAGTCTATCCATTTAGATTGATTTGAGATGCTTGCCTTTGCCTTTATGTTACACTAAATTTGTATCTGTGATTTGTCTGTATCTGGACTTTCTATTCTGTCCCATTAGCTGCCCTATTCGTGACCTAAGCCACAGTTTGAATTATAGAAACTTTAACATGCTTTGATATCTGCTAGATCTAGCAACGCTTACTGCCCCTTTTTCACAGGGTTTTTCTAGATAATCTTGTTTGTTTTTTCAACCAACCTTTAACTACAAAAAAAAAGTGATATTTTCATATTACATTATCAAAGTAACTTCAAAAAAACATTTTTCATGAGGCTAGGTCTTCTTATCTAAACACATGGTCTGTCTTTTCATTTGTACAGGAGACTCTTTCTTTTTTAAGATGAGAGATACTATATCCTAATGTTTGCTGACAAGAATGACCCACAGGGAAGGGGATATTGATGATGCCCAAAAGAGCGAGTCAACTTCTGGACTGATGCTGTGGAGTGGGTCAGAGGGGATGGGATCTAGTGCACAACTGGAGAGGCTGGCGTGAGCGGTGCATCCATAGTCATCATGGGTAAATAGGGCGAGGGGCCAGAGGCTGTCAATGGAGTAGTCATTCTCTTCTGATTACTTATATTTTCTCCATGAAACAAGAAATAAGGTGATCAGTTGAGAGTGAAAAGTGAGGAAAAGGTTTTGGAGGCTTGAGGGAAAAGGAAAAAGGTGTAAAATTGGCATCTAGAAGAAAAAGAGAGTGAGCCAGGACCCATGAATACAGTGTGGGAAAAAAAAAAAACCTTTGCATATAGACATGGATGTCTTAGGAACAGAGAAGTTGCCGTATTTGGCAATCTCTTTAAGGTACGCTTTAGAACTGAGAAATTAGTGGGCATTGTTAAGAGTGCCCTTTCACTTTTAAATGATTTCTGCAGCACTTGCATACTCACCACTTCCTCTGAGAACACCTGTCTCTTCACATATTTTGATAAATTTCCTTCTGTAGCATTTTTTAGTATCTCTATCACGTTTTCCAACATATTTAACTGGATATGGAGTATAATCTGAATATTAAGAAGACACAAACAAAACCAAAATGAAGTTACTGTCTCAATGCTAAGAAATGTACCTGGTTAGATAAGCCTGCATTTACAGGTACCCACCCTGCTTTGATCCTACTTCGTAATTTATTTGCTTGCACAAGTTAAAAAACTGTGCTTTAAATGTAAACCCACCAGCCAAAATGTGCTTTCCAATAGTTAGTCACAACACTATAACTTCAAAATTTGTTTAAGGGTAACATTGGAGAGAGCAGAGATTTGGTGTCTGGATAGTTGGGCTGAAATCTAGATACTGGCAAGTACCAGCTAAGTGACTCTGGACCATGTACTTAATCTCTCAATTTCAATGCCTTCATTTGTAAAATGGGGAAAATAGGTTTAGATCTCACATTTTAGGTTTTATGAACATTAAATAAAATACCAGTATACAGAAGGTACTCAATGAACAAAAATATTGGTTTCCTCCTCTCTATATCCTCTAGATTCAGAGGATATGACAATCAGACAATCTCATAAAACCAGTGACATGGTTTGGCTTTTTCCACCCAAATTTCATCTCAAATGGTAATCCCCAGGTGTCGGGTGAGGGACCTGATGGGAGGTGATTGACTCATGGGGGCAGTTTCCCCCATACTGTTCTCATGATAGTGAGTGAGTTCTCATGAGATCTGACGGTTTCCTAAGTGGCAGTTGCCCCTGCTCTCTCCCTTTCCTGCCACCTTGTGAAGAAAATAATTTGCTTCTCCTTTGCCTTCCCCCATGATTATGTTTCCTGAGGCCTCTCCAGCCACACGATACTGTGAGTCAATTAAATCCCTTTCCTTTATAAATTACCCAGTCTCTGGTACTTCTTTATAGCAGTGTAAAAACGGACAACCAGAACTGGCTGGGGGGAAATGGTACCTTCAACGATTTTTTTTTTTTTTTTGAGACGGAGTTTCGCTCTTGTTACCAAGGCTGGAGTGCAATGGCACGATCTTGGCTCACTGCAACCTCCGCCTGCTGGTTTCGAGCAATTCTCCTGCCTCAGCTTCCTGAGTAGCTGGGACTACAGGGGTGCACCACCATGCCCAGCTAATTTTTGTATTTTTAGTAGAGATGGGGTTTCACCATGTTGACCAGGATGGTCTTGATCCCTTGACCTGGTGATCCACCTGCCTCTCCCTGCCAAAATGCTGGTATTATAGGCGTGAGCCACAACATCTGGCCACCTTCAACGTTTTCTGTTGTTAGGAAGTCATAGGCACACAGGCTACTGCAGGCATAGAGTGGAAACTGGCTGAAATTTTAATGAGGTACTCCTATTTACACTATCTATTAAGCAACTTTCAAAACTGGGTACTGTAGTTGTGCTTTCAAAATGATACTACTACCTATCTTCCACCAGATAGGTACAATTAACACAAGAAAAAAGAACACATTTCCCCCCAATTGCCAATATTCACTAGTATAATTCAAGAAAAAGTTTAAAGAAAGTGAGAATGAGAATTCACCAACCAATGTTACATCCAGTTTATAGTTTGATGTATAAATCTTCCAAATATATTAACTTATCCCCAAAATTTGATCCTACTTTTGGTCAATTACCACACAATAGACATTTATTTCCTCATAGCATTAATATTAGAAAAAAGAAATCTTATTTTTAACACATACATAGCAATTCATCATGGAAATATACCATACTTCATTATACTGACCAATGTGTATATGCATTTTTAAAAACTGGTAATGTCTTAGAGACTTGATTCCCAGAAGTGAAATTACTAAGTCAAAGCATAGAGATGTTTTTAAGGCTCTTGATCCTTACAAAAGGTAGTTTTCCTGGAAGAGATTTACCTTTTTTATATTAAACCAGCTATGTTTTCTCACCATTCTGTTTGGTAACATTTTATACTTGTTGAGTAATTTATCAGGATGCAGGGTTGTCTTTGGTTCTGAAGAGAACAGAAATGATCCCAGGTAGATGAAATACAAAGAATTCAATTTAAATGCAGTGTTCTAAAGCCCAGGCAAAATCATGAGCACACCCTTTTTGGGAGACAACTCTCCATGGAGTCTCTCAAATTTCTGCATGCCTTGAGAGCAAAAGCACTGCTTTTATTCCAGACTATCTTTTTAAGGATATTTGTGTACAACAGACATAGCGTCGCATCCAAAGCAAAGTTAAAGGCATGCTTACTGGCCACTATAAGAGATTTGGGTTACCTAAGCTCAAGGTTCTTCTCTTAAAAGCAACTTCCTATGTGTACAAGAGGCACATAGAGCTCTTCATGTCTCCCAGCAGGACCTGGGGCTCAGGAAACTGATGCATATCCTGGCGTCTGCTATATAATAATCTGTCCTTTATTTCTCAGTGTCTTGTACACGCCACTAGCATTCATGAAACTAGGGCAGGCTAACTCATTAGCTTCCAAGTGGGATAAAATCTCTGACCCGTCACAGTTCTTAACACCTTTGTTAATAAAAACCAATCCCAATTTTGTTGATGGTGGTGTCCTCCCAAAGGCAAAGACAAGTCTACCTTGTTCAATGCAATGCTATGTCTCCAGTACAAGGTACACAGCCAATTCTCATTAACAATAAACAAGAAGGGGAGCTTGGCTTCCCCAGCAATTTACAAAAATAAACCATCTAGAGCCCTCTGCTAGAAATGATGTGCTCCCTGGAAGATTTCAATATTTCTTCCTAAGTTTTTCCAACTTCTCTTCCTCCCTCCAGCAACTATCTCTGATTCAGTAGGGATTTCAAGAATAAGGCTCACTACCTTAAAATACACTGGTGAAGGACAATGTACATGAGGCAGTCACTGAAAAGGCAAAGAGAAAGTTTAAAGCTAGGGGCTTATCTCAAACCAGTCTCAGGGTGCAGCTAAAGAAAACGAAAGTAGAGTACGGCACATTGCCTTAATCTTACAGATTTCAAACGAAAGACTACGGAAATTCAGTTAGTGAGGAACAGGGGAAATTTTGGTAAGAAAAACTATTTAAAGAACACGTGCTTCCTGCCTCTTTGATTTTCTGAGGCCTCAGGAAATAAGTTACTAGATACCTTTGAACAAAAAAGGGAACAGAAGCTCTGAGCATGCAGAACTTTACATTTCTTGTTTCTTTTATTTTCGTTTTATTTTTGCTATATTTGAAGAATATCATAGTATGGTAGAGGCTGCCAGTTTTCTAACCAATATCCATTGTCTCCTCCTTTTTTGATAACAGGACTCCCTAACTTTAACAGGCTCTTTCATGTATGAAACTCAAAGTCTATTTCTCAGGGTTCTTTGCAATTAGATGTGGTCATGGGATTAAGTTATGGCCAATAACACCATCAGTACAAGTTGTTGGATGAAGACATTTGAGAAAGTATCTTTAAAAGGGATGAACTTCTTTGTCCACTCCCATTTTTCCTACTTGTTGCTGGACTAGGGATGTAATGAATGGAAGTCACATGTTAAAGATAGTAGAGTAGAAATATACAAAGAGGCTGGGTTCCTAATGACATCATGGAATGCCACATCAGGCGTGGACTGACCAGATTGCTTTTCTACATGGAAGAAAATAAAGGCTCTAATTTGTATAGGCTTTTATTTTTATTTTTGGAGTCTATATTGCATTGCTCCTAAACAAATGCAATTCTTAACTTACACATATGAGTAAGATCCTGCCATGAGGAAATTTGTGAGAAATCAGTCCTGTCTCCTTTCCTCCCTGTGCACTCCAGACTTCCTAGCATAAGTTAGAACTTTACGGTGACCTAAGTGGGTAGAAGAAAGGGGCATTAAGACAGCCACCTGTATTAACAAATAAATGATAAATGCAGCAAAACCACCTGTCGGTTTCCTTGCAAGGTAAATTCAATTCCTAAATGGATCTCCAATTGGAGGCATGCCAGGTTTATAGAGAAATGATTAGAATTCAAATAGAATCAGTGGACAATTACCCTGCATTGGTCTCTCTACTTCCAGACATATTTGGAAGTAGAAATTAATCCTTTGATGTGAAGCAGCATTGCTAAAGAGGATCTGTGTTTGAGATTGAGAGGTTTCAACTCAGACTGAAAAGGTAGAGTCAACATACATGTGTTTTGATGAGATATGTTAAACCAACGCAGTATGTATTAAGTATTAGCTGGAAAAATAGGAAACTGGGCCCTCTTTGTCACACTGTGAACAGGAGCAATTTAATAAAACAAGTTAGGGAGAAAATTAAGTTCAAATTTCAACTGACAGCAGCAAAAAATTTTAGCATAAAGCATTAATTTTTAAAGTTGGTCAGAAAAAAGTTTCATTTATTTCTGTGAATACTGACTAACCAGACTCTACTCAGCCTGTCAGTTTCCATCTCTCAATAATTAACAAGCTGTCTTTAAGGATTTCAAGTAGATGAGTTAGCCTTAGAGAAGAAGCTAAGGTCCATGCAGTATTTTTTTCTTTTTTTTTTTTTTTTTTGAGACGGAGTCTTGCTCTGTGGCCCAGGCTGGAGTGAAGTGGCACAATCTCTGCTCACTGCAACCTCTGTCTCCTGGGTTTAAGTGATTCTCCTGCCTTAGTCTCTGAGTAGCTGGGACTATAGGCGTATGCCACCATGCCTGGCTAATTTTTTGTATTTTTGGTAGAGATAGGGTTTCACTGTGTTAGCCAAGTTGGTCTCGATCTCCTGACCTCGTGATCCACCTGCCTTGGCCTCCCAAAGTGCTGGGATTACAGGAATGAGTCACTGCGCCCAGCCATGCAGTAATTTTTTAAAAATGTTCTCTATTAACAGAGACCTAGAATCTGAAAAAAATTACTAAACTTGAGAATGGCAACCATATAATTTTCATCATCTCTGAGGAAGATGACATAGGCTTATATTACAACATGAGAAATTTCAGTTGAACATTTGAAAGAATTTCCTGACAATTTTTAAACACTGAAACTGTCATTAAGTTTCTTGACAGTGGGTACAGTTCTGTGATACAGTTCAGAGAGGATGATTCATACTCAGTATCTCTTCAAGGTTTCCTAAGGAGTCCTTGCCTGAAACACACCCATCCCAACTGCATCCATAGGCTGACTTTCCTTTCCAGCGCTCAGCGGAAAGGAGCTGTTCCAGCTGCCTGGTGGGTGCGCACATGCTTTCTCCACCATGCCCTGCATTGCTCTTCCTACTGGGAATGGACAGCCTCATGCTCAGCAGGCTTATGTTTAACTCCACCAAAGCACCTTCTCATTTGGGAAAAAAAAATCATTAATAGATTATTTTTGTTATTGGAGACAAAGCCTTGCTCTGTTGCCCAGGCTGGAGTGCAATGGTACAATCTCCACTCACAGCAACCTCTGCCTCCCAGGTTCAAGCAATCCTCCTGCCTCAGCCTCCCGTTAGCTGGAATTAGAGGCACGCACTACCACGTTCAGCTAATTTTCATATTTTTAGTAGAGATGGGGTTTCATTCACCATGTTGGCCAGGCTGGTCTTGAACTCCTGACTTCAAATGATCAGCACACCTTAGCGTCCCAAAGTGCTGGGATTACAAGCATGAGCCACCGCACCCAGCCCATGCGTAGATTCTTATAACTTTGAGAGATAGGCCAGGATGGGAGGAGATGATAAATGTAAATCCAGAGGTGGATTATATGCACTAGTGGGATCGTTTTTTTTGACATCCAGTCATGTGTTCTTTTTATTCACGAGGAGCCGCTAGTCCCAGTCCTGGATAAAAAGATACACACCCTTTTCATCTCTGTAGGTCTGGGGTGGTGAGGAAACCCTAAGCTTTGCAGTCAGAGTTGTTGGTGTTAAAACCCTGACATTGCTATTTAATTAGCTGAGAGAACTAAGGTAATTTATTTACTGTTGACTCTTCATTTTCCACATCTATAATGTGGAGAAAAATTGTTTTGATAGAACTTTTGTTGTATAACAAATATAAAGTACCTAGCATGATACCTTCGATAAATTAAATTAAAACTCTGCTTACCTCACTGTTTGACTTCTTACCACCAATGCTTATTGAAATCCTCAACCTTGCTTCAACTCTAGGAAAAGCGACCAATGGTCCATGTAAAACACTTCTCCCCATTTTCTCCTGTCCTTGTTTCCTACCTGATGTTATAAGAGACTTGGATAGCTTTAGCTTTAGTGGAAGAGTATCTTGCTAATCCCAGTCACATTATGATAGATGGGACCTCTGAAGGCCACTCTCTCTCTCTCAGAACCAGTTATATACTGGAATACCAGAGCTGTCCATATCCAGTAGGAAGCAGAGATGTCAAAGATATATTGTGCCTGTTGGAAGACCAGGCTTCCCAGTTTAGCTTACTAGTATGACTGGCTCAAATGACCTGACCTTCTGGACTCTGGACCTTTGCCAACCTTGGCCTCTCGGACCTGCTTTAGCCTGTGAGCTATTCAGGCTGACCCACCTGCTCAGACCTACAGTTTCTGCTTCGGCCCCCAGGATGAACAGGAGCTACCTGCAGCAGCCTAACACAGGGACAGCTCTCAGCCATTTGGATTTCTACACAGCTATGAGTCCTTTCCTGTCTTTTCTGGTGCCTCTTCTGCCTCACCATTAATGCCTTACAAACTCACTTCTGAGCCCTCTTACTTTCCCGCTTGCTTATGGCATTCATCAGTTCATATCAAATCCATTACCAGGTGTATATAGTTGAGTTCATGCCCTCCAAGCTCATGCCCTTTGGAACTGAAAAGTCTCTTTGTCAATATTTTTCTAGTACTTTGTTTCTTCCATTCCAAACTCATTTCATTTTTTTCAAATTCTCTGTTATCACTGTTTCCATCTTTCTGGTTCCTCGGACTGAACTTTCTCTCATGTAAAAGCTGCTGTACCCTCCCTAAAGGCCCCTCACATTGCTCCTGCTAGCCACTCCTGATCCCCCTGATCCTCTGCATCTACTCATCTTAGAATACTCAATTAATTACTGCGATCTGTTATCCTAGTTTGTGTCATGCTAATGGTTACACATTTCTATCCTTCTGAAAATGTTTTCTTCATCTCAACCTTTGACTATTTCAGGAGACTATAAGCTCCTGAAAGTTTTTTCTTTTGCAACTCCCCACACATAAGTAGTCACAGTATGCAAGGAGTCTCAATATGGGCTGGTGTCCTTAATGACAAGATAGTCTTTTTTAATTGGTGCAGGAAGGTTTTGTGACTCACTGCTCAAACTCTGGGGGTGGTAATATGCCTCAAATTTTATTTATTTTTACAATCTTGTGAATCTGTGTAATCTTTTCCCTTTGCTTTTAGTTTTAGGGATTAAGATTTTGCATGTCTTGGTGACATGTGTGCAGTCGCTTGCTGACTCAGACCACAAGCCCCAAATAAGTGACCCAGGTGGCCCAGATAAGTTAATGGGGAAGAAGGCCATGGGCATACTGGCAACATAATAAGAATAACAACAGATAACATTTATTGAATGCTTACCACATGTCAGGCACTATTTTGTGTACCATAGGTATTTAAGCTCATTAATTGCAACAATGCCATGAGTTAGGGACCACCAATAAGATGCAGTTAGCACACAGGTTTCTTTTAAGGCTCAGTAAAGAGCCTGGAGGATATGTCACCATCCCCTCCTCCTCTCTACATCTACAGCTTTCTTAGCCATGTCTCATGTCTTCAGCATCTAGCCATGTCTTATATGTGAGCATATCTACCACTCTCCTACCTGTTTACAAAATCCTGGAAGCAACAGCTGTGTTGACTCTTCTTACAAGGATGATACTGTAATTTTCACAGAGAAGAATTCAATAAATGACTGCTGATTTGAATTGAATAAAAACCTTGGGAGATAAGTCACTGTACACAGCCAAAAATTTAGGCATCATTTTATTATAATACATGTATACATTTCAAGGCTTACCTTATACCATAAAGAAGTCACTTACATTTAAATTAGTGCAGGTTATGCTTTCTGGATCCATGATTTGAGAAAAAATGGACATGGCTTTTGCCACCTCATTCTAGAAGGAAGAGAAACAAATCATATCCTATATCACATGAACTAATGTTCTTGTAAAAGATTACTTAGAGAAGGCGGTATATTCCTATTAAAGTGACCCCAGGGTTTTGAAGTCCACAAGGAAAAAATGTTTTGGAAATTAAAACTAAACATTCCATAAAATGCTCCCTCCAATAGCATATTGTTGAATGTTTTAACAACCTGCCTGAGTCCAGATTTTAAGATGCAGGCATAAAGTTGGCATTTCCCCTTCTCCTACTGGAATCAGCTTCTAAAAAAATAGGAATGAGGAACAAAGTGCAAAGCCTGTCTTTGACATATGTAATTAGAATATAGAAACTCCAACTACAGCAGAGTTGGAAACACTGGAGATGGAGGCTGGCCAGGTTCAGGAGAAAGCAGTCAGAGGTGGACAGTGCTCTGTATCTCAGAAAGAACCCACAACAGGACAGCTCTCAAAGGTAAAGGCACAACCTGAAGTACAAAATCTAATTCCTGTTTACCATGATGAGAAAGAACAGAGTGTAGGACTACTAAAGAGAACTTCTGCGGATCCTTGTGGTGGCAGAGATGAGGCTAGTCAAGCATTTCCATAGACAAGCTGTATTCACTGGAAGCAGTATGTTCCTAAGACAGCAGGGCAGAGAAGAGACTGCTCGCCAAAAATCTCCTCAGTGCCTGTTCCTGTTGGCTTAAAAGAAAGCAAGCCTGTGTATACTTGTTGACAAAACTCTGGGTTATATGAAGAAAAATCCTGCTAGTCTAGAACAGGGCTCTGGTGTGCCTCTCTGTTGCTTTCTCTGTCTCGACATAAATCTACAAGTGACGAGTCTAAAAGAAACTTAACGTTATTCTTTTATTTTTGAATTTTTATTTTTTAGAGACAGAGTCTTGCTCTGTCACCCAGACTGGAGTATAGTGGTATAATCATGGCTCACTGCAGCCTCAAACTCCTGGGCACAAGATATTTTCCTGCCTCAGTCTCCTGAGCAGCAAGGACTACAGGCATGTACTACATCCTGCTGTACATACTGCTGCACTTGTTTTTGTTTTTGTTTTGGAAAGACAGGGTCTCCCTATGTTGTCTTGGCTGGTCTCAAACTCCTGGACTCAAGTGATCCTCCCCAATCCCAAAGTGCTGGGAGGAGCCACTATGCTAGGCCTTAAACTTACTTTTCAATGATGAATAGTCAAAAAAGAACCACCACAGGACACTGATAAAGATCATATTTTTAAAAGGGGAAGAGGAACACAGTAGAACAAAATTAAGAAAATAACTGGCAGAGTGACTCACGCCTATAACCCTAGCACTTTGGGAGGCAGAGGCAGGCAGATCACTTGAAGTCAGGAGTTCAAGACCAGCCTGGCTAACCCAGATGGGTTTAGTAGAAATCCCATCTCTTCTAAAATACAAAAATTAGCTGGGTGTGGCCAACATGGTGAAACCCCATCTCTACTAAAATACAAAACTTAGCTGGGCGCACGCCTGTAATCCCAGCTACTCGGGGGGCTGAGGCGGGAGAATAACTTGAACCCAGGAGGTGGAGGTTGCAGTAAGTTGAGACTGCACCACTGCACTCCAGCCTGGGCGACAGAGTGAGACTCTGTCTCAAAAAAAAAAGAATAACTGGCCGATGAAGAAACCCTTATAGAAAAATATTTCCATGGACATAGCAGATAGAAATGAGAAAAATGAACAAGATCATGTCAATCAGAAGTGGAAAAAAATCAGGCAGGCCTTAGATTTCTCCACAGCAATGTTCCATACTAGAAGACAGAAAGGCAATGCCTAAAAAAACCTTAAGAAAAGCACTGTCACCTTGAAATTGTAAATCTGGCCAAATTGTAGTTCAAGTACAAAAACAACAGGCAAATAAAATAATTTAAAATACCAAGAACTCAGGGGATATTGTTCCTCCAAAGAATTTACCAGAATACTCACTTCAGCCAACAAAGAGAAGACTGGAAAAACAACAAGCATCAAACAACCTATTTAACTACACATGGAACTAACAAGTGGGGAGTGAGGCTATAGAACAGAGTGTAAATGTTACATGCTTGGACAACGAAGCAATATTAACACTAACAAAAGTTAGAAACAGAAGGGAAAGCCATGAGGGGTAGGGAATGCATTCCCCTTTCCTTATCTTTATTATCAGTGGCCCAAAAAATATCACTTAAAACTGACAAATCAAGTACATTTAAGAGTAAAGTGAGCACTATCAAAGTGAAATACCAATTTCACCATTACTTATATTAGGGAATTAACAGGTATTATAAAAGAATTAGAGAATTAAGAAAAGCAAAACTATGGTTTTTAAGTCACCACTAGAACAAAAATACCAACTAGAGAAAATAACCACATGGCATAAAATAGTAGAAAAAATTATAGAAACAGAAAGTATCAAATAAGACCTAAGATCAAATACATGTCATATGAATATAAACAGATATTAAAAGATTAGCATCATATTACAAAGCAACATAGACATTTATGTAGTATATAAGACATACAGCTAAAACAAAACAATTCAGAAAGATTGCAAAAATAAGGGACAGGAAAAGCTGTACATCAGGCAAATGCACACCTGATAAGAACAAAGGAAGAAACAAGCAAAAAGAGGGGTGGAGATATTAATATTGGATAAGGTTGAATTCAGGGCAAAAGCAGAACACATGACCTAGACAGGCACTTTATAGTGCTAAAGTGAGGGATTTACAATGATGACGTTACAGTGATGATGTATCTGTGCACCAAACAGTATAACTTGCACATAAAGAAAAACTACAGGAGCTACACAAAGAAAGAAAAACACATACCTTAGAAGAGACCTCACTCACCTCATGACAGATTAAGAAGACAAAATAATTCCCCTGGATACCAAGGGAAACTTAGAAAGTTAAAGAAATGTTCTTGACCCAGTGGAGGCCTGGTAAGTATATAATCTCTTAAGCGTTTGTTCTTCAGTGACTCTTCCCAGCAGTATATAGAAATGGATCACCCTCATATTTTGATTTTTAATTAATAATAAGAGTTCTCCAGCTATATTTTACCTGCCAGGAAAATAACCTGGCTTGGCTATTACTTTTCTGCTATAAAGTTTCCTTTTACTAACATGTAAAGCATTTCATATATATATATTTTTTTTTTTTTTTGAGACGGAGTTTCGCTCTTGTTACCCAGGCTGGAGTGCAATGGCGCGATCTCGGCTCACCGCAACCTCCGCCTCCTGGGTTCAGGCAATTCTCCTGCCCCAGCCTCCTGAGTTGCTGGGATTATAGGCACGCGCCACTATGCCCAGCTAATTTTTTTTGTATTTTTAGTAGAGACGGGGTTTCACCATGTTGACCAGGATGGTCTCGATCTCTTGACCTAGTGATCCACCCGCCTCGGCCTCCCACAGTGCTGGGATTACAGGCTTGAGCCACCGCGCCCGGCAGCATTTCATATTTTTTAGGCCTTGGAACAGGAAATCTCAGAGGAGAGGCTCTTCCAAGAGAGGGTGTTCCAGGGTTCCAGCATTAACTCTGTCCATCACTGAGGCAGGACCTTAGGGAGCTCCCCTCTTGTCTCTGGGTCTCTGCTACCTCCATCTGTCCAGTCAGGGGAATGAGGCTAAAAGATCACTAAAGACTTACCCCAATAACAGTAGTAGTTGGGTATAACTATGAAATATATGACGGATACCACGTCTACAATGGACTGACTCAGCAGTCCTCATTCATCTGAGGCAAATTCAACTTTGGAAAGCATTAAACTAAACTGTTCTCTGAGAATGTTACAACATAAACTGATGATCTGCAATTTTCCTTTTAATTACTTGAGAAATTTCTCTACCCTTCTATTTAGAAACGCATGTTAGGTTCCCAATTGCAAATGAAGACATTCTTTGCAGTTATATGTATAGATTATAGATTTCCATAGCAACAAGGGCATTGGTCTCTTTATTGGGACTACTTCTTTGTGATACAGTCAGAAGGAAGAAAATAAAAGCAAAGACACATGAAAGTAGTAAAGTCCTGGCCACTCCCAATTTACTTACGCGCACCCCAAAGCTTTACCTGATTCAGAGCTAATGCCACAGCGAAACAGGATGCTCTCCTGGAGAGAATTTCTCCTTTGAGTAGGGCTTCTTCTCTTAATATAGTACAGATTTTAAAAGACTCAGGGCTATTCTGTGAGGAGACAGGATTGTTCGATTAATGTCATAAACCTTTAAGTTCAATAAAATGATTAATAGTTCTCAGTATTTAGAGTTCCTTTTGTAAGGATTTCCTACAGCCTCCCTCAAGCCACTTAAAAGATTAAGCCCCACATAGAGACTATTTGCAAATAGATCAGGCTACTGATATGTCAGCAGCTCAAATCTAAATTAATTTATTTTTAAAGCTCATTTTCAATTTTCTGAATTGGGGCAGTTTTTACCAGAATAAGGTTCAACAACACAAGGAAACTTTTCCTGGGGGAATTTCCAATCTAAAAATATTCATATGTCAAATATTTGAAAACATCAACACTAATTTGAACTTACATTATAAAAGAATCCCATGAAAATAGAAACCTTAAAAAAAAAATCCAAGAATGTGAATGACATAAAAACAGGAGGGGTAAAGCCAAATCCTCTTCCTTTATGCATGCTGCGGGGTATTAGGTTTATGAGAGCAGCCTGGCTGTGCATCTATGTCATCTGTCAATACTAAGTTGCAACTCTTGTCAAAATAAAGTCCAAATGGGATGAGAGAGGGCCAGGATTGATGTGGAATTTGTACTAGCTGACCAGATCACTTTTTCAACTCATTTCCACTGGGTGAAACAAGTTATTCTCAGACATGGCACAGGGGAGAAAAGTCCTCTGGCCTTTCCTAAGTAGAATTTATTAATTTTTTTTTGAGACAGAGTCTCACTCTGTTGCCCATGCCGGAGTTCAATGGCATGATCTTGGCTCACTGCAACCTCTGCCTCCTGGGTTCAAATGATTCTTTTGTCTCAGCCTCCAAAGTAGCTGGGATTATAGGTATGTGCCACCACACCTAGCTAATTTTTGTATTTTTAGTAGAGACGGGGTTTCACCATGTTGGCCAAGCTGGTCCACCCACCTCAGCCTCCCAAAGTGCTGGGATTATAGGCATGAGCCGCCTCACTCAGTCTCTAAGTAAAATTTTAATTCTCTTCACTGCAGTATACACTCAAGGAGGCATCCCTAAGTAGAATACAGGAAGACTGGGAATTGCAATGCTGAGTAAGTGATGCTCTAGTACTGTGTGGTTTTCTGGCCTCCTAGAATCATAGAATGGTATGAATGGAAAGAATTACTGAATCCAGAGGTCAGCAAGCTATGACCCTCAGGCTAAATGTAGCCAAAGCTAAGAATGACTAACATTTTTAAAGGCCTGTAAAAACAAAAACAACAAATATGGGACAGAGAGGACAGAGATCATATGAGGCAGAGACATATGTGGCCCCCAAAGCCTAAAATATTTACTATCTGGCCTTTTATTTAAAAAAAAAGGCCAAATCTAACCCTCTCATTTGTAAAATGAGATAGGTGATGAGTTCTAAGCTACATAAGCCAGTTAATACCAAAGTTGCAACTAGACTCCAAGTTTCTCAATTTCCGGTTGGTTTTCTTTCCACCATAACCCAGCTGTCCCCCTGTTTTGGAAAACTGGTATTGCTACACCCTTCATGGGTGTTTTTCAGCAGCCCATGTTCTTCCACTTCGCTTGGTGTTCCTTTGTTTTCAGTATAAAGAGGTTTTGTGTGCCAGGTTAACAAAGTCTAAATGACACGAATGACAATAGTAATACATTAAACACTGACCATTTCACAATTTCAGTTATCATTCAGTTACTAAACTAAACATTGAAGAAATAGTTTCTATGGGCAAGAAATAATCCTGGTACAGTAATGACAAAATAACTTTTTTTTTTGAGACAGAGTTTCACTCTTGTTGCCCAGGCTGAATGCAGTGGCGTGACCTCGGCTCCCTACAACCTCCACCTCTTGGGTTAAAGTGATTCTCCTGCCTCAGCGTCCCAAGTAGCTGGGATTATAGGCACCATGCCCGGTTAACTTTTCGTATTGATAAAAGAACTTGTAAGTCATGGTCTCTGTCCTCAGAGTTCATTTTCATGTCACCTACATTTATTAAAAAACAACTGGATACCAGGCATTGTGTTATGTGGTGGGATACAAAGAAGCCTTAAGGAGCTCACACTCAAGTAGGGAGAATGGAAAGTGGATCTGCCAAGTACAACATTAGGCTATGTCAAAACTACCAGGGAAGTGATACAAATAGAGCATAAATAAGGGATATCTGGAGGTGACAAACATCACTTCCAATTTTGGTGATTACAAAAAACTTCATAGATGAGGACAAAGTCATCCTTGAGTTTACCAATGAAGGAAGCTAAGATTTCTATAGAAGGGGACAACAGGGAAGATGGATCTAGCGGAGTTCAGCATAAGACATGGCTCTAAAGCAGAGCCTGAATCCAACACATTGCCTCTTGTTCTCACTATCTACACAATCACCAGAGAAGAGTGAAAGATGAAAAAATTACTTTTCCCATGACAAAACTGTCTGATATGGCTAACTTGAGTTTTCTAAAAATGAATACATTTAAAATTAAAACATTTGCACCAGATGGAAAACAGACTTCAGAGGAACTGAATTTTATTTGAAGAGAGAAAAAAAAAAATCCTCTCTCAAAGACTGCCCACAATGCTCTCAAAGTTAAGGGGAAAGAATCTTACCAGTTTGTAGCAAATTCCAAAAGCAAGAACATAGGTATCTATGGTGAACTTCACATCTTGGTTTTTCATCTCTATCAATACTTCCAAAGCACCTGCCAAAAGCAAAGAGTGGATCGCGGAGTTAGCCAGAGTTCCTCTACTGCTGGCCCCCAAAAGCTCTCATCTGTTCAGCACCATCAACTGAAAAGTGTATTTTGACAAAATAAAAGCTATTTCTCAAAGTCATTTAGCAATTAACTAAATGTTAAAATAAACTATCCGGTCATACAGGAAGAACTAATGTTTTAAAAGCTGCTTTACAATTTTAGCATAAGTAAAATCTGAGATATTTAGTTTAAGTGATGACACGCAATGCAATGTTTTCAAACTTCATTAGGTCTCCATAATTCAGCCACTTATCAAGAATATAAGAATCATTTTTGCATGACTCATTTTCCCCCTAATTCCTACACCAGCAAACAGCAGAATTTTTCAGCAAATAGAAACTGCAGTACTTACTTTCATATTTGCCTTTGATAAATAACATATCCATCAAAATGTTGAATGATGTGGAGTCTGAGAAGAAACCTTGCAAATGCTAATGAAGAAGAACAATACAGTTTGGTTAAAGGTGAAAACTATTTATTGAGGAGGTACTTTTACTGTCTTTTTTTTTTTTTTTTTTTT